AAAAGAAAAGAAGAAGACATAATTAATAGATGGACAAAACATGCAAGAGAAAATAAGAATAGGAAAGAGGTTTGGCCCATTAATTATGTCTTTCCTTTTACTTTGTTCTCAAAAAAAAGATTCTATTTGCATCAAATTTTTACACAAATGTGGCCGACCAAAATCTGTGGTCCAAATTTGCATTTACCTGTTTTTTTTCTTAGGTATTTACTGTGAAAATGTGCCTAAATTAATTTTTTTTTTGGTTTTAAAATTATTTTTGTTGAACAATTTTATAAAGGATCGAATTCAAATTGTTGCTTTTGAGAGAAGGAAATGTACTTAAATGTGACTTGATGCCACTGCATCTAAAGACCCGAGTGCTTTAAAATTAATTTTTTTAAAGATGTTAAAAGTATAATTTCACATCAATAGCATAATGCATTAAAAAAATTTTAATTTTTTTATATGTTATTTTCAAGAGTTAAATTTTAAATTTAACTTACAAAATAACTTACATATTGGTCCAACATTGAGGTTGCATTTAGTTGTTTATTACTCATAACTTATGTTTTTAACTTTATTTTTTTTTTCATATTTTCTTCATTTTCTTATTATTTTATTATTGTTTGTGACATAAAAGGATTTTTATTTTAATTTTCTAAACATATGAAAAAAAATCTTAATTAACCTTAACATTTTGGTTGTTAGCAATAAAAGGGTTAATTAAGGTAATTATTTGATTTGGTGATATATAAAATATTGATCTTAGGTTTCCAATTAATTATGATTGCCTTTATGGACCAACAACTCCTTACCAACCCCTTCAATTTAACATATTCAAAGTTCAAACGGTGATTTAAAAATAAAATAGAAAAAATAGTACGAAATAATTTTATTTTAGAATATAGTCCTACCACTCTAATAATTGTTGTTAGGGGTGTTGATATTTGATTTAAACGAATTGATTCAATTGAAACTGATTTAATCGAGTAAAATTTAATTTGATTTGAATTGAAATCAATTGAACTGAAATTTGAATTTTAAAATTGATATAATTAATTTAGATTGCAATTTTATATTCTAAATTAATTAAACTATATGATTATAAAATAACTTAATTAGATAATATAAAAATTTTATTTTGTATTTTTTAAATTTATTTTTTGAAAGTTTTAGTAAAGTAAAAATATAATATATAATCTAATGTAAATTTATTTTTTTATACAAATTGTATTTTTTTTTTCACTTTTCTTATTTCTATAATATGCTCCCTCTAGTCAAATTTAGTTGTTTTCATTTAACATTTAGATAAAGTTTGACTAAAAAATTTTATACTATAGTAAATAAATGACAATTAAATTTTTTTTTTCTTTTTTATACATAGGTATTATTGAGTATTTTCAATTAAATAAAAAAAGTTTTCAATTATCATTCATTTATTATAAAAATCATCGAGTTAATTTATATAAAATTGAGGAATTAGAACAACTAAAAATACAAAAGAGAGTGCACTTGACTTTTCGGGCCAACTAGCACTCTGTCAGCTTGAGGTGCATTCCCCTTTTCCATGGGTGGGCTTTAAGCTCGCCCTTGACAACTGTTCAAAAAAAAAAATACAAAAGAGAGTAATATTTTTTAATGGTTGTACTATTATATTTATTATATTAGTGATTATTTTCTTATTTTATTTTTATGTTAATTAACTTAAATTAAAAAATAATGAAACCCTAAATTATCCATATGTAAATCAAAACTTTACTCTAAAAACTCTCTAAGTACCTTCTTAAGAGGTAACAATTTGGGCCTGTATGTCTTAGTTGCCCTATTATTTCTTACTATTTTTTTTTTTGGCCATGTTTTTAATTTTCACTTCAATCTAGTAAATTGAAACTATTATTTTGTTGTTTATGATGTTAATATGCTTTATAATTGTGTTTTATATGTTTTGATGTTAAGATTTTTTTATCTAATCAAATATATTTAAAATAGTGTTTAAAATTAATTAATCTAATTGAACTAGACAGATTCCATTTAAGTTGAATTGTGTTTTTTTTTTTTTTGTTTAATAGTTAGGGTATTCCTGGATCAATTTACGTGTACCTCAAAATTAATTCCTCCATAGTATAGTTAAAAACAGATCATCTACACCGACGCTAAGGAATTCATAAGGAATTACCTCTTATTACTCTCCCCAAAGAATTGAATCTTGGTTAATATGGTAGGAAATAAACCCCTTTAGCAACTAAGTAAAACTCCTTGAGTATTGGTTTGATTATAATATAATAGTAGATTGGTTTGGTTTGATAATTTTATTAACAGATTAAAATAGTTTGATTTTAAAAATGTTAAAATTTAAAACACTCCATGCCGTGAACACTATTAAATATTGTTATTATTATTAAGAATAATGATAAAAAAGATGAATTTTATAGGATTAAAATTTGAGATCCATGAAATTACACTAACAATGTAATTTTAAATATTAAAAAGTAAAACTTATATTATTTTGTAATTAACTCTTTTTACTTTATCAAGATTTATAATATTATATGTATTAACTCATTTATATCATTAGTCCCAAATTTAGTCCAATATCCCTCCTCTATATCACAACTCTATTATTAATTGTGTTGAACTGTTGATGGACTAAAATGTATCTTTCTTAAAACAAATGGACTTTTCGGCCTTATAGTTATAGGTAAAGGATAAAAGTGTCTATTTTTTTTGTATATAAACAAAAATGAACGAAAAATTTGCCTAACCCAAATGTACTTAAAAAGAAAAAAAATATACAAATCACAAATCCAACTGTACAAATAGCCAAATAATTATTTCTGCTACTTAGCTTAAATGAAAAATAGAATTAAAAAACTACTATGATGGAGATAACTTAAAAAGGTAAAAAACAACACCACAATACAAAATTAACATAAATTCTTGTTACAAGCAAAAAAAAAAAACATAAATTCTTGTTCTACCCTAAAATGTCAAAAACAGTAAAGCTACTCGCACTCAATAATTTTTCCAAAAATAAAAAAAATTATGTGTAATTTTATCTTAGCAAGTACTAAAAATTTCTGAACTCAAGAGTGTGGTTGACAAAGGAAGACAGTAATGGAGAACGTTGGGGGGTAAATGTGAATAAATAATTAAACTTTTTTTTTTTTTTGTAAAGCTAAATTAGGCCTATATTTTTTTAATAATAATTAAGGCAGTAAAGGGGAAGGCATGAAAAGGGTAAACAAAACACCCTAAAAAATAAAGAATAAAAACAAATATCCAAAATAAAATATGCACTAAATATTCAGATTTCTCAACATTTCTTTAGAAAAAGTCAGTTCCTGCTCTTCTGCTTTTTCATCCTCAACCCCTAAAATTTCTTCCCTTCTCTCTCCTTTACCTCTGAATTTTTTCCATATTTATTGGTAAGTTTATTGATATTTTTTTTGGGTTTTTTTTCTTTGTTTTCCTATTTTCCATGTATTTTCCTGATTTTTGTAAACTGTAATTTTCGAAATATCATATTTCTCTGTAAAAATTTTCTTCTATCGTTTAGACACGAATTTATCAGTATTTTTGGGGATAATTAAAATTCTCTTAGCAGAATCCATCGGAAATTTTGCAGCTTAGGAAGATTTCAACATAAAGCTTGAATTTTTAGGGTTTTTATTTTGGGTTTGGTTAGATTTCATCCAGATTTTAGAGAAAAATGACATTTTATGCTTGAGATTTAGTGGGGGGTTTTGAGATTAGGTGTTTTTGAGTTCAAAATCCTTCTTAATTTTGCCGAAAATCATATGCTTGCGAGTTGGGTCAGAGTGGGTGAGTGTGTGAGTGAGTGAGTGACTGTAAGTACAATAATCATCCCTTGAGGTTTCTTTGATTCTGTTAATAATGTCGTAGATTAAGGGTTTTTTTTGGTTAATGTTTGATGATCTCAGAAAAATTCAACAGCTTTTTCTCTTTTTCTGGGTTGCAGAGGTTGTATGGAATTTTAGTACAAAATGTCGGGATCTGAGACAGGTGTGATGACGAGTAGAGAGCCCTTTACGGTGGGCATGCAACAGAAAAGTCCGGTGCCGTCACAGTCGATGATGCAGAACATGCGTCTAGCGTTCAGTGCAGACGGGACTCCCGTCTACAAGTCTGTGACCCCCACTTCTCCAACCTATCAGCCTGCCACTGGCAATGGCGGAGGTGGTGGAGGTGGCGGAGGTGGCGGAGCTGAGGGGTCTGCCAGTGGGGCTTCGGTTCCCATAAACATGGGAAGTGAACCGCTCAAGAGGAAGAGAGGGAGGCCAAGGAAGTACGGACCAGATGGCACCATGGCATTAGCTCTTATGTCTGCTTCTCAATCCGTTTCCGTAACCCAATCTGGTAGTGCAGGATTCTCTTCTCCCCCTGCTCCTGGATCCGCTCCTCCTCCATCAGCTTCTTCACCAACTTCCGGGAAGAAGGCAAGAGGGAGACCTCCTGGTTCTAGCAAAAAGCATCAACTTGCAGCTCTTGGTAATACTATTAGTTTCCCTTGTTCTTTCTCTTTATAGCAAATATTTAAAGGGGTTGCCTTGAATCTACATGCGTTGGCATTATTTATCCTGAAATATTTGGTTTTTGCCTTTCTTAATCTTTTAAATTTCATGTTATGTGGGTAAGTCACGTGATGGGATTCGAATGTTGGAGATGTTGCCTGTGGCTGTTGGAGTCTTTAAGTCCACTGTTTCCTTTGACTTGATTATCCAGTTTTAATTTCCTTTCTTTGGTTGGATATTAGTTCTGGTGTCTGACAGAAAATGAAATCGTTGCTGCTCAATGCCTGATATAATATTGTACCAAAAATAAATAAATAAAAAGAATGCTGATATAATAAAAAGTTAATAAGATATGTTTGTTTGATGACTGTGTAAAATAGAAAAGGAAAGAAATATGTATGTGCTGGAACGTGGGATCTGTTCTATCTGACTACAGATTCTTCTGTTGCAAAATTACTTATATACCCTTGTTTCTTAGATTCCAGTACTTGCTACTATTAGCTTGTAGAGTTGTCCTTCAGGTTCTACTGCTTTGTGTATGGTTTAATTACAAGTGCATTCTTTCAGATTATTACTGAAATAATCAAATTGTACGGTCTATGGTTTCAGTTTTGTGATTCTTTTGAGGTCATTTTTTTGGTTGAAAGAAATTCTTTATTTATGGAAGTACTTCTTTCTTTTCCTTTTGCCATTTTCAGCTGAAATTTCTTGCTCAAAAATAGCATATAGTTTAGCATGACATTCATTTCTGTAATAACCTGAAGAATGAGATATTTATAAATGGCAAGGTATTGTATGCTTTATTTCCATGTTCATATATGTTAATGAAATTCCTATTTGAATGTGTAACATTATTTATGCCTGAGGTTTCTTTTTACAGGATCTGCAGGGGTTGGATTTACACCTCATGTTATCACTGTCAAAGCTGGAGAGGTTTCTGCTTGTCATTTATTTTTTCTATAGTTTGTTTATCCTTCCAGATTAATGATGAAAAACTTCTCTTATCATGTTTAAATATCAGTAAAATTTTTATATCTTTTTTTCTGGGTTTGAATTGCAAGTATTGATTATTTGATGAATTTATATGTTTCCTAATTGCTTTCTCATGTCATGTTCACATTGTAGCAATGGCTTTTTTCTGAATGTGCATGGATATCATTATATTCTTATCATGAATCCATAAACTGCTCTCTTTTATTTTGTTTTAATGAGGTTGTTGTTTACTCAAAATTTTTGTCAGTGAGATGCATTTGGTGGTATATTCCTACAAGCATATTTCATTGTTTTCTGGACTGTTATTTTAATCAAAAGAGTGTCAAATCTGAGCAAAATGGTTATATTTTAGAATTCCTTCTGGACAATAGAAATTGAAGGCAAACAAAAATCAAGAACTGGAACTTCAATAAATTTATTAGCATTTATTGTTATTTTTATTATTATTGTTATTATTATTTTTATTTATTTCAAGATATGAATTTCTGTTATTTTTGCTTTTTATGTGAACATGCAGGGTCATAGTGAACTCATGTGAATTGTTAAGCTGAATGTGGTTAAAATTGCAGGGCATTGGAATAATTATTGCATAGATGATAAAATCAAGTACTTTTGTGACATTACCCACTCACCATATCCACCACAAGATGCATAAATCAGAATCCATAAAATTTGAAACAATTTTAACTTATGCTGTTGCTTTATTCAAGATTTTATGTATTTTATGGCTTGCTTTATGAAGAAATCCTTTTAAAATGTATGTGCTTCTTTCTTTAGAGAATAACTTTTAGTTGATTATTATGGTGCAAGAAGATGACTATGCCTTTTCTCTGTTGTTTCAGGACGTATCATCAAAAATTATGTCATTCTCTCAGAATGGGCCCAGGGTTGTTTGTGTCCTTTCAGCAAATGGAGCCATATCAAATGTCACTCTGCGCCAACCAGCCACATCTGGTGGAACCGTAACTTACGAGGTCCACACATCCCAGTAACTGTTTTCCTTGATCTTGTGTTGCATATGAGGGATTGGCTTTTGTACCCCTAGATTCATTAGCAATTCAGAGTTTCACAGTTTTTATCTGGAAGTTCTTTATGAATAGTTTTTCTCTTTGCCACTCTTTGTGACTATTTAAAATAACAGTTTATTAAGTTCATTGCTATTTGTTGTTATGTGTTGGGAAGGTGATAGTGTCTGAATTCTCATGGTATGTGGATTGGGTTCTGTTTCTTTCATGTCTGTGATGCTATTGTTAAGGGAGAGGAGGAGAGTTATGAGTATATTGTAACTGCTCTTCAATGCATATGTTTTTTTTTTTTACCAAACTTTCTTTCTTCATAGTCTTATTTTCTATCGAACTTCTCCTTCTATATCTATTACAGGGGCGATTTGAAATTCTATCACTGTCTGGTTCATTTATGCTGACAGAATATGGTGGTCAGCGGAGCAGAACTGGGGGCTTAAGTGTGTCATTATCTGGTCCTGATGGTCGTGTCTTGGGTGGTGGTGTGGCCGGCCTTCTAACAGCTGCATCCCCTGTTCAGGTTTATAATTTTGTTCTTGTGCAGGCTGACTATTAGATTATACAAAGAGCTCTCCATCTTTAATATAATTGATTGGGTTGCCTATCATCTTATTTGTCTTTTCAGGTGGTTGTGGGGAGCTTTATTGCTGATGGTCGGAAGGTATCAAAGTCAAAACACCAAACAGAAGCCTCACCTGCTCAACCAAAGCTTCCAGCTAGCGGGGTGCCAACAGTGGCAAGTAGCCCCCCATCACATGGTACTCTGAGTGAATCCTCTGGTGGACCAAGTAGCCCACTTAACCAGAGCACAGGAGCCTTCAATAACAATAACCCTCAAGGCATGTCAAGCATGCCATGGAAGTAAACCCCTTCCTAACTTAAACTTGTCCGGCTAATTTGTGTTGCAGGCATGGGAGCCTACGTTGTGTTACTATCTACAGCAGGCAGATCCATGTTGTAATTTAAGTCTTGTTGTGGGAGTTCGGTAGAATAAGATTATAGAATGCTTTCGGTTATGACTTTATTGGTAGGTAGGAAGTGCCATTTAGGTAGTAAGAAGTGCTTGTTGCACTCTATAAGGCGAACTTGGTTAGAAGAAGAGAAGATCCACATGTTTTTAGGGCTTGTTAGAATGAGATGGTTTTAGTCTGACTTGGCTTATTGTAGGTGCTTTTTCTTCTTGTTCATCAGCTTTAGTGAAATGTTTCCTTTTTTTTTTTTTTTTTTTCTCTATTTGTAAAATTAAATTTAGCCCTTGTTTAATCTCTCCAATAGACTTGCAAATAGCTTTATAGCTATGATCAACTAATTACAATAGAATCTAATGACTAGAAAATGAAAGCAGATTCTGAAAAATGTTTTTTATGGGTGCAAAATGTTTTCCTTATTGAGAAATGTTTGTTTTCTTGAGGTGAGCACCAACATGAGTTTTGCATTGTTTTAATTTTGTTGTTAAAAATAACTAATAGTTATAGTTGTTGGATAATTAAACAATTAATAATTATGTATTAACAATTTAAAATCAATGTATATGTCAATGTTTGCAAATACCAGACAAGAAAAAATAAAATAAAATCAGCCAGAGCAAAACAGACCCTTGGTCAACAACTGTCACACAAAAAAGAGAGAGAGTGGGATTCCATCTTATTGGAATTGATATAAAATAGCCTGTTTCCTCATTCCATGCAGATAGTATTTGCTTGATAAACAACATATCATTCCTTTTTTCCTAGACACATGTTTCTGCAGTCTCATATAGGGAAGTTTTCCCTTCCATTAATACTTGATTTTACCAGAAATAAAAATAAAAAATTTACATCATTTATGTCTTACATCACAATGCATGAATGAAGTGCTTACCTCTGATTTTTTGCTCTCTTCAATAGCAGACGCAATGAAAATATGCCCATGACAAAAGTCTGCCAAAACCACCCTCTTGAATTACCAGGATCCACCCGTTTTGCCAAGAACCATGCATATATAGCCTCGAAAAGATGTGCTGCTATAGTGAGAATTGATACCATCCTTAGCACTAACATTGACCGGAAGATGAAAAGAAGAATTGCTTTAATGAGGGATAAAGGTGCTATGGCAGGTAACCATGCAACAGCAAACACTGCAATCATTGCTGTCACCACAAAAAACCAAGTATATATTGTAGGCCCATCCAGAGTTTTCCTTTTTCTTTCCTGCCAGTATGAGATGGTTGCAGCCATACCCTCACGAGGACTTACCATGGGAACATAGCCAAGCTCCTGTTGTGCTTTAAGTAATGAGAAGTAGTGTGTAACACCAACCTATCAACAAGTTGGTTCAGCATGCGTGATATAATGCTTTTTCAACAGTAATCTGAAAATAAAAATACTAATAATGATAATAGTCAAAAAGGAATACTGGATACCGAAACAAACCTTGTATACTTCAGCCGGGAGGATGAAAGGTTGGGGAAGCCACCATCTGTCCAACCATGGATACAAGATTGTGTACATGGCCCAGAAAATCTTTCCCAGAAAAAGAGCATGGGGGACAGATAACCATGACGTTGGTAAGTCATAGTCTAGACTTCTTAACAGTGGTTGAATGAACTCAAAGGTGTTGATTGGAGACCCTGTGAAAACAAAAACAAAAACAAAAACAAAAACAGATCAAGGTAGCATATTTTAGCTCACCACCTGGTCTTTCAACTTCATTAACTTGCTTGTCTAAATGTATAAAGCACCATCAGAACTATTTCTACATGAACAGAATTCAATGAATGGATCATTACCATCTGATATAAAGTATGCCTGGCCAGCTGCAACTGGACATCCCTCTTTACCAGGGATGTCATCAAGTAGCCCCATGCTTGCCAATATTATAGCGAGTACCAGGTTATCCACATAAACCCAGTCTGTTTTCACACTAGGTGCACCAATTTTGAATGGCACCAATCCCAGCTTTGTTAGAGACACTATCCTGGGAAGGTGTCTCTCCTCACCTGGTCCATAGATAGCTGCTGGACGAACCGCACAGGTATAAAGACGTTTCCCGTTATTCTCCCTGAGCAACAAAGAAACAAACATAAACTCATTCCTCATCAAACAAAGTAAATGGTTATGAAGAAAATCTTGGACCATTATCTGGAAAAGTCATGTAAAAAAACTTGAACCAATATACTCAAAAGTCATACCTAACAAACAAGCAAATAGAAAAAATAACAAGCTTTAAGGTTATCACAAATACATTACATACTTGAAAGGTCGACCGTTGTACTTAAGAACCAACTGTTCAGCAATTGCTTTACTTCGTCCATAAGGATCAACATGGTCATCAATAGGGAAATAGTTCAAGGCTTCATTGCCATTGACAATTTCCTTTCCCCCAAAAACTACATTATACGTGCTCACATAAACAAGCCTTGTGATCCCCAATTCAAGGCAAGCTTCCAAGACATGACAAGTTCCATTGATATTCACCCCATCAACTCGACCAAGCTGAAGCATTTCTTTCCCTGACATGCCATAGGAAGCCAGGTGGAATACGCAATCCACACCTTGAAGAGCCTTTACTACATCATTTTTGTTGACAAGGTCCCCTGACATCACAAAATATTGAACAGATGAGTGCATAAAGTTAGTAGTAACTGTTATAATAAGATCCCCCATACATTGTTTGCTTCATTCTCATTTTATACAGATCCAATCTAATATTTGAGAATTGAAAAAAGAGGCACTGCAATTATCCAAAGTTGATAAATTTTGAAAAATATGACCATGATCTTGCACAAGTAAAACAAGTCAAAGCAATCAATATTCAGCGCACAACCAAGCATCCTCCACCCCCAGACATAAAGTTTCCACTTTCTAGAGGAATCGTATTGAAGACATTAATCCCATATTAGTTTCATGCCATAGTATCGAATATGCCACCAAATTATATGATTCAGTTACAGAAATCCCTTTTTCAACAAAAAGATGTCAAATTTAGTCGACACAGGATGTAGATACAGAGATTAGATTTAGAATAGTGGGAAAAGAAAAGTAACAAATAAAAGCAAAAGGGTAAACCTTGAATGCATTGGACGCCATGGTTCTTGAGATCATGCGACCAAGGAGAAGTGGGTTTGAGGTCAAAGGAGCGAACCCGGCGAGCACCTCTACGTAGCAGGTCCAAACACAGAGCTGAACCCACGAACCCCAACCCACCCGTCACTACAAAGGTGTTCCCTTCAATCCCTTCATTCTCGCTCAAATGCATTTTCTCCTTTTCCTCTTGTTATCAAACTCAAAAGATTCTAACCAGAGCCTAGAGACAGACTCAAAGGGAAGGAGAGATTGGGGACGATTAAGATGATATTTCCGGGGGATGCGGGACAGCAACATTCAATGTCACTTGTCCGAACTCCGGTCCATCTTGTTTACTTGACTTCGATTCTGTGTGTGTCACTTCAGCGAGGCTTTCCCACAATGAAAAACCACGCAGCTTCCCAAAAAAAAGGAAAAAAAATTAAACGTTTTATTTTTTAAA